CCCCCCCCCCAGGTTAACAGCTTTGGAAACTCTTTCTCGTTCTGGTATAATTATTAATGTTGACCCCATTCATTTTCAAAAGCAGCCTTAGAATAACTATGTAATCTACTGTTCAATCTAGTCAAGAATAAGCAGCAGACCTGAGGCAGGGACACACAAAAAAACTCTGGACTCAGGATTAGACCTATCTGACCCTGTTCTCATAGCCATTACATAAAAAGCAAGGCTTCCCCAAGTCCTACTGCAACAAAATCCACAGAGACAATAAGAAAAGAGATTCACCTCTCCTTACATAGTTCAGTTTTCATGTACCCCAGCACCCTTTTGCAATTTTTACAGAATCACAGCATTCTCAAAGGGCCTGAAAAGTCAGGTCAATTACAAAGAGTTTCTTCTTTCTTCTGAGGACTCTATTCACAGTCTTTTATTACATCATGTCGTAACTCCGAGGATTATGTTGATGAATTGATGGTTTCCAGACAGAAATGTGAAACAGGCAGCAAATCTGCCTGAGAGTTATGCTGGGAGAATCTCCAAGTGTGATGTTTATTAGGGAAATCCCTAGTTTAACTTGGGGAATCATAGAACATTAACTCCAGGAGTGAGCTTAGAGCAATCAGAGTTCATTTCCTTGTCTATGCAGATGAGGAAACTAGGGCCAGAGTAGTTAAGTGACTTGTTCAAGGTACTATCTAACTGGTAGCCAAGGAAAGGCTATACTAATAGGTTTTCTGTCTCCAGGCCAGCTTTTTTTTCTTTTTTTGAGTTTAAAATTTTATTTTTCAATTACAGTTTACTTTCAATATTACTTTGTATTGGTTTAAGGTGTACAGCATAGTGATTAGACAATCATATAGTTTACAAAGTATTCCCCTTGATATTTCCAGTATCCACCATACATAGTTATTGAAATATTATTGGCTATATTCCCTGTGCTGTACTTTACATCCCCATGCCCATTCTGTAACTATCAGTTTGTACTTCTTTTTAAAATTTAATTAATTTATTTTAAAATTTATCTTTATTGTTGAGAGTATTACAGATGTCCCCCATTCCAATTTGTACTTAATCCCTTCACCGCTTTCACCCATTTCCCAACCGTCCTTCCCTCTGGCAACCACCGGTCCACTCTCGGTGTCTGAGTTCCAGGCCAGCATTCTGAGTTCTGACACCGTAAGTACTGATGAGCTGACCTCTCTGTTGAGTTGTGTCTCACTCCACACCATCCAAGGAGGGCAGATATTGACTGACCCTTGGTCTAATGAAATTCCAAGAGGAGACAAAACATATATAAGGAAAAGAGTCTCCCCTTAAGGGGATTAGATGTCAGCTCCCTCCTGCCGCAAACGCGAAAGTGCAGCTAGGTGCCTCTCAAGTCTGGTCTATCAATCCGCCGGCTACGTCGCCCACGTGTGGAACCGACATTTACGGAGCATCTACTAGCTGTTGGACCTGCCACCCACGTGATCTCAGGCGGATTTAGCCTCCTTAGGGTGCTCTTGTAGGAGATGTCTTTTCTAGCAGCTGCTGGCTGGGCACAGGCCTGGCCCTTCCCGGGTCCGCTAAGGTTGTTGACTCCTACACCAAGCGGGATGGGCAAAGGCCGCGATGCCTGGAGACCGGTCATTTCCCCCGGATACCTTCTGTTCCAAATAAGCCAACCTCCAGGAAACCTGACAGGCTCATCTCGAGGTCACTGAGGGGCTCGAGCCCTTAGCTAGCTTTTTGGGGCTCTGCAACCCGTGCCAATGCCGAGGCGGAAAACGGGCCCCGCCCCTCCGGGAGAGCCCTCTGCGTCACCGTGACGACCCATTCCCACGCAGGTGTCCCCCTCCTCACGGCGGCCGCCCACGGTCCCCACACGGTCCCCTTCCTCACCCGCGGCCGCCGCGCCACCGCCTGCTGCAGGCGCTCGTTCACTGTCCGCAGGGCAAACGCGACCCCCAGCTCCGCCGACATGCTGCCACCTCTCCACATCCCAAGGGACCTACGCTGAGACCCAGACCCCGGCACTCCAGGGCTGAAACCACCTTCCGGTCTTGGCCGACTCACGTCTCCATATGGCCCAATCAGCGCTCACCTCTGAATCGTCTCACCCAATCGACACCGGTTACTGCGGGGGCGGGGGCGGTGTAGCGGAGGCCCCGCCCCTTGGCGGCGGCCATCTTGGGGAGGTCGTAGTGGACGCCCCCAGGTCGCTGGGGCCCCGGGCGCGGGTTGGGCCTTTTTGGCGTCTTTTCAGTAACCGCCGGGAGAACCTTCAAGGATGTGTCGCTTGGTCGGCTGCTGCCCCCGCCTCAACGGGATCTTCTTGAAGCAAAAATCGGGGCCTGCTCCCGGGGTCCTATTCCCTCTCAGAATGCCTCTCAGATTTTCCAGTCCCTGCCATTCAGAGATCTGTGACCCGAGATTTCTGTGCGCAGGTACCAGGATTCGAAGCTGCTAGGGCGGGGGACATCGCTTTTAGAATCTCAGCTAATCCTGTGAGGAACCGCTGAGAGATATAAAAGATGGCGTGATTCAGTGTATGGTTAGTTTCCTTATACCAGTGCTGTCCAATAGAAATGTGTGATCCACATATGTAATTTAAAAATTTCGAATAGGTTCATAAAAAGTAAAAACGTAACCATACATTTTATTTAACCCAATATACCCAAAATAAGATTTCAACATGTAACCAATAGAAAAACCTCAAATGATATTTTAATTTTTTATCGTACTCAGTTTCCAAAATCGGGTGTAGTTTTGACTTACAGCATGTCTCATGTTTCAGGTGATCAGAAGCCACCTGTAGCGAGGGCGACCTTGTCCCAGCGCACAGGCAGCGTTAGGCAGTTCAGCACGAGCTCAGCACACATTCAGTCTCATTCCTGAGTCTCCTATGTGTCCAGCTCTGGGCAATATGAAGCTCATAACCGGGATGAGGAGCCAGACAATACACAGACTAACAAGGTAAATTATTAAATTTGTCAGATGGTGAAATAGTAGGTGCTGTGGGCAAGTAGACAGAGATCAGTTTTGTTAAGGAAAGCACTTCTGGCTGTACTGTTGTTTCTCAAACGTTAATTCAATTTAATGAGGAGAGAAAGGGCGTAATGTTGGAGAAAGGGATTGCTTGTTTTCCAGGTTGTCGTGAGGTGACTGGAAAGCAAGGGCAATATTCTTACTTTCTTCTCTCATTGTCTTCCCAGACTCCAGGGACTGAGATGGAATTTCACATGTTCTGCTGTGAGAAAATCACTTTGTGTCCTTGCCATCAAGGACGTCTTTTTTGGAAGTCTCCATTTGCCAGGTACACATAACTAAGGTTGTCAAAGACATAAGGAGTAATTGTATTCAGATGTCTCTGGACTTAATAATTTCTACTCCTGCCAAAGTGATAAAAATTTTTTAAATGACTAAAATAGTCCTTCACAGTGTGACTATAATAGATGTTTGCTATAGATACAGAGTTGCAAGGTGCTAGCCAGCAGTCAGTGGTGGGAGGAACAAGGGGATTACAGTGATGAGGACCCTGGTGAAGGGATGTATAGAGCAAGGACTGGGTGAGCATGAAACACTTAAAGTGATATGCTTTTTGGAAAACATTGAAAAGACCATAGGTCAGGTTAGCTCTCTTTGAATTACAAGGTCAACTCCCCTACCTCCACCATCATGGTGTTTATGCAGGTAGCTCCCAAAAAGGCATCAGAAGAGTGACTTAAACTTTCAAGCCAATAAGGGTAATGGTGGCAAGATTGGGTAGAGGTAGCATACGAGTGACACAAGTTGAATCTTGGTTTCATCACTGAACTGTAATCTTGGATAAGTTACTGAACTCAGTTTTTCATTCATAAAAGAGTCAATATCCCCTTCAGAGCTGCAGTAAGAATCAATCAAGATACTGTGTTACAGCCTGGCTGGGCGTGGCTCAGTGGTTGAGCATTGACCTAGGATCCAGGAGATAGAAGTTCGATTCCTGGTCAGGGCACATGCCCGGGTTGAGGGTTGAGGGGGCGTGTAGGAGGCAGCCAGTTAGTGACTCTCATCATTGATGTTTCTCTCTCTCCCTCTCTCTCCCTTCCTCTCTCTGAAATCAATAAAGATTAAAAAAAAAGATACTGTGTTATATAATTAGAAGACTGCTCCCCCAAATCAGGTGCAAGTGTTCAATGAGTATGAGTCTACCCACCCCTGCTTATCCATTCAGTCAGTATTTATTGAGGCATTTCTCTGTAAAAGTTACCTTGAGGGAGACCAAGATGAGTAATGGTACCTCAGGGGAGACCAACTTGAGTAAGACAGGCTTTACTGTGGATTCATTTCTAAAATGCTTTTTTTTAATTTAAAATATATCTTTATTGATTTCAGGGAGAGGAAGGGAGAGGGAGAGAGGGAGTTGAAACATCAATGATGAGAGAGTCATCATTGATCAGCTGCCTCCTGCACGCCCCCGACTGGGGATCGAGCCCGCAACCCAGGCATGTGCCCTGACCAGGAATTGAATGGCGATCTCCTGGATCCTAGGTCGATGCTCAACTGCTGAGTTTTTCATCGCTGACATTCTATGACCTTATGAAAATGGAAGGATGAAAAGATCATGGTGGCCCCAGATGCATTATCATTTCACATTTTACAATTTCTTTACTCCTTTTAAAAATTTTATTGATTTTAGAGAGTGAAAAAGAGAGAGAAAACCATTGATTTGTTGTTCCATTTATTTATGCATTCATTGGTTGACTCTTATATGTGTCCTGACTAGAGATCGAACATGCAACCTTGGAGTATTGGATGACATTCTAACCAACTAAGCTACCTGGCCAGGGCTCCAATTTCTTTACTCAATAGCTGTGCTTTTGAAGCAACTTTATTCCACCTTTTCCTCATTATTATTATTATTTTACTTTATTCCTCTTCCTGAAATGTCAACCATCTAATTTAACATTTCCTCCTTCCCTAATACCTAGTCCTTGAAAAATGCAAGTCCAAAATCACTTTATCACTAGTTAGCTGTCTTTAAGTTTCTCTAATAGTTTGCAAGGACAAAGGGGGAAAGAGAAAGACTAAAAAGCCAAATACCCAGAGGAACAGATTTCATAAACAGTCTGAAACCTAATATTCTTATTCACTATAAATGCCATCAAGCTTTCAAAACATTTACCCCTGTAGTCTGAGACCTTGAATTATGAGAAAAAATTTTATGGATTTTAAAATTGTTTCCTTCTGAGCTCACTGTGATTCTTTTGGGGGGATAACAAAAAAGATAAAATAATAGAAAATTACTGTTGCCTGGTTACTTGGCTCTGAAGAAAAATGGAGAAATAATGCTCATGTCCCAATTTAAATGAATTCACGTAGAGTAGCCATGACTGCAATCCCTTAGCAAACTTGCTGTCACATCTGGCTTTTGAAATGTCAATATAGATTCTAGAACCCTAGACTTGGGGAGGACCTTTAGAAATCATCTGATCTTTCATATAGAATGACATTTAAACCATGGGATCTCCCCAGTTTCTGAAGACCATCAGAGAAAAAAAAAGTGATACATGCTTATCCCTGAATTGATTTTCTATTTGCAGGAAGCTACTTTTCCCCATTTAAAATTTTAGCCAGTATTAAGTAAAATTTTTAAAAATACTGTATTCTTCAAGCTAATTTCCTCCTCTTTGGTTTCTGAAGAGTCAGAAAATACCTAGCCAACCATTATGCAACTTTTATAAACATAAGGTTGCTAAATTTCCCTTCTGCCTCTCCTGGGGTCAACCCATGAGCTTTATTTTTAAACTACATTTTTCTTTCGGTTTTAACATTTTGTTGTCTCTCTAGCCTTTTCAAATCTTTTTCTAATTAGAACCTGGAACTCAGCAATTCTCTCAACAGGGCCACATCAGGTTACTGTCTACATACTACCTATGTAGAGGTCTGTGTTCTCAATACTGTTTGCTGCATTGCAGTGCTGTTGCCTTCGCTCCCTAGGGGCTGTCCTATTTGTAATCTTATTCTGTTATCACATCTGGTTTTCCACTTAGTGGTACTCACATAGGAGTTGTGCACTTCCTAGCCTGTTTTTCCAGGTGATTGAAAATAAGTATTTTTCAACACGTATACATGCTAGACACAGTACTAACCCCTTTATGTTCACTGTTTCATTTAATCCAGTCAACCCATTTTATAGATGAAGAAATTGAGGCTCAGGCAGGCTAAAGAATTTATTGAAAACCTTATACCTTGGAAGTGGTAGAGTTGGGATTTGAAAGTTGGCAATCTAACTCCAGTACCTACATCCTTAACTTACCTATTCTATTGTAAGTTCATATTATTTGTGTAGTAGGCTCTCAAACCAATAAAGTTTGGGAGCACCATTAAAAAACCTGAGAAAGCCTGGTCTGGGGTTGCCAGATTTAGCAAATAGAAAGACAGGAGCCCTCCTGGGCTTGGCTCAGCGGTTCAGCATTGACCTAGGATCCAGGAGATCACAGTTTGACTCCTGGTCAGGGCACATGCAGGGTTGCAGGCTCCATCCCCAGTTGGGGGTGTGCAGGAGGCAGCCGATCAATGACGACTCTCTCATCATTGATGTTTCTCTCTCTCTCTCTCCCTCTCCCTTCCTCACTCTGAGATCAATGAAAGATATATTTAAAAAAAAAAAAGTATAATCAGTTAGATGTGAATTTTATGTAAACAATGAATAACTTTTTAGTATGTCTCATGCAATATTTGGGAGATACTTATGCTAAAAATTATTGTTTGTATGAAATTCATATTTAACTGAGCATTCTATATTTGGCAACCCTAGGTTGGGCGTCTTTTCAGAGCAGAGACTGGGACTTTTTCACTGAATTGATACCACAATGAACTTTGGGTCAATTGAAAGTATCTCTGCCCTTTAGAGTTGCAGTGGTGTATGGATTCTTTAAAATTACAAACCTCTATAGCAGCTACCAAAAATTATACCATGTTCACAAATTAGTTGTTTATTGCTTCTACATTGATAATGGAGATATATATTCATTTGAATATGTTTTTAGGACAATTTTGTACTCAACTTACTAGGTAGGGATATTCTTTCTTTATGTCACCTATTCTAATATTAGCTATTGCTAAATTTCACTTTAATAAAAAAGTAAATACAAAGACTCATTTTATTTAGCAAGACTGAAAATAAAACTAAGACATAAGTTCACACCTTTGTTGTCCAAAACAATTCCTCTACTATCAACTCAAGGCAATTAATCCAGCAAATCATTCATTTATAGATTGATTACTATAACAAGAATCATTTTTCAGTTACAAAGGGGGTCATTAAGTCCTCAGGGCTCTTTCAAACTAGATTGTTTGATTATTCAATCACCTGTTTACATAAAAGCAGAAATGAAAAGGAATGGAGATCCTTGCCCTGGCCAGTGTGGCTCAGTTGGTTGGAAAGTGTCATCCCATACACTGAAAGGTTCAATTCACGGTCAGGGCACATACTTGGGTTGCAGGTTTGATCCCAGGTTGGGGCGCATGCGAGAGGCAGCTGATCCATGGTTCTCTCTCACATTGATGTTTCTCTCTCTCTCCCTTCCACTCTCTAAAAATAAATTTAAAAAAAGGAATGGAAATATAAACACAAAATTACCTCTTTTATAAGAAAACAGAGTAGTGGTTAAGTTCATAGACAGAGTAGCTGCTAGCCAAGATACAGATGGTCCCCCACTTATGATTTTTTGACTTTATGATGGTGCCAAAGTGATATACGTAATAAATTTCATGATATATATAACACTTTATTATAAAATAGGTTTTGTGTTAGATGATTTTGCCCAACTGTAGGCTAATTAATGTGAGTGTTCTGAGCACGTTTAAGGTAAGCTATGCCAAGCTATAATGATAAGTAGGTTTAGGTGTATTAAATATATTTTCAACTTAATATCTGAGGAGAATCTGTACTTTTTATCCTCAAACTTAAATAGATAAGTCAGTAAATATGATGATCTTCCAGTATTTCCTCTATAAATGATAAACTTATCAGTGTTGAAAGATAGATCCATAGAAATTGCAACAGAACATTTATAAAACATCTTTTTTGGGGTGAATATGCAGTAAGTATATTAGCTATTACTACATTTCACTTTAATAAAAAAGTAAATACAAAAACTCATTTTATTTAGCAAGAGTGAAAATAAAACTAAGACATAAGTTCACACCTTTGGTGTTGTACAAAACAATTCCTCTAGCTATCAACCCCAGGCAATTAATCCAGCACATCATTCATTTATAGAGTGATTACTATAACAAGAATCTAATATTAGAATAGGAGAAATAAACAAGAATTAAGTTCCTATGGCACCTCATCAATGTTATAACAAAACTATGTTGAATGAAACAATGTTAGTTGAGGACCTGCTGTACTGCTAAAATTCTTTCAGTGATTTTTTTCTCTCTCCCTCAACTTAATATGATTATAGATCCCTCCAAATTTATTTTATTTTAGTCATATAAAAATTAACAAACTTTGGCTTTTTTGCAAGCATTCTGTCCTTATATAAAAAAGTGATTAAAAACAGTACTGAATATGAATCACTTCTGTAAAGTTTAATGAGTGAGAAACATTCAACCAAGGTGACTTTTCCTTGGAAAATCTTACAAAAACTGAATTTTATAAACAGTTACCTCTTTTGATAGAAGTCCCATTTATAAATAGCAGCCATGACTTTACTGCCTACAAAATTGCAGGCTGTCACATTTTACATGTTTAGAATTCAAATGTTAAGGTCAGATTTTCTAGTAAGTGTTAAAGAAAGTCACAGACAGATTGGTTAGTTGTCCCATGCTAAGGAAACAGCTGACTTCCATGATCATACTATTCAGGCAGGTACAGACTACCACTGGTTTGGGCACTCTAACATTTATATTTTTGTTTAAAGAGGAAGCGACATTAACATTGAGGCGGGGTTAGGGCTGCAGAACTTTATGGAGGCTCTTCTGTGGTCAGAGCACCTGGTGCAAGGGACAAGATAGCACAGGATGTTAGTATTAGAGGCCTTCAGCATAAGAGCCTGAGCCAATGTGCTGCTACAAGACACAGGCGTCCTCGCTCCTCCTCCAGCTGTAGCACAGGAAGGTCTCCTGAGCCGAGGTCACAAGTCTCAGAGTAGAGGGAGCAGACAAATATGTCAGTCAGGAACGCTGGACGTGACATGTTGCTCCTCAGAAGTGATCAATGGCATTGAAATGGGAGGAGGGTGAGTGTATCTTAATAATGGATACCCTGTGTTGGTCTTGGGAGACTGATGGCCAAGGACTTCTGAGCATATTCAAATCCATCAATCCCAGGAACATTTGGCCGCCTGCACAAAGTGTGATCAGGACCAGCGGTATGAGAATTCTAGTTCCCAAAATTAGAAAAGAGAAGGGCAACATCCGACACTTTGTTTCTTCCTAGACAGGCTGAATGTTCCCCAAACTTGCTACTTAGGGAGCAAGCTGGCCTGAGTTCTGGGGCCATTTGATAAACTAGAAGTCTAGGCATGGGACCAAAACAGAGTGGGGATCTGAGCCAGAAAGCAGAATTCATAGTTTCACTGAGGGAAGAGGGGTATACTGGGAGTATTTTTTGGGGTGGGGTTGGGGGTAGCTAATAACAAGGCCAAATCCTAAACCAGGGCTCATCATGCTCATCATGGAGAATAGCAACATGCTTGCAAGTTCACTCCAGATAGCTGCCCTGTACCTAACAATTTGGTACAAAACTCAGGGCTATACAGGCTGGACCCCCACCCTCAACTCCAATTCCAGGGTATAGGAAAACCTTTCTTTCATGTTTGCTCTCCCCCATCCCAAATTTCCCAGAATGACTCAAACTTTTCCTAATTAGTAATGAGAAAGAAAACATCTGAACAGATTTGGATGCAGCCGTTCCAACCCAGGGACTTGGGCATGAACTCTGACTTGCACCCACACAGCTGTCTCTGGAGAGTGAACCTTCAGTCTGATTGCTGTGTGGCTGCCTGGAGCCTTGGATTTAAAAACACGTGTTATCACTACACTAGACAAACTCCTAGCACGAGCCATATACACTCAGATTAGAAAGCCTTTTGGATGACCCTCCTTTCTCTTCCAGAGGAGCTCTTCAATTTAGAATCTCCACAACAAAAAAAAAGACCTCACCCTGGCTGGGTGGTCAGTGTCATCCATGCACCAAAAGTTTGTGGGTTCGATTCCTGGTCAATGCACACACCTGGGATAGGGGTTCCATTCCTGGTCCGGGCCCATACAGGAGGCAAATGATTGCTGTTTCTTTCTGACATCAATGTTTTTCTCTCTCTTTCACAATCAAACAGAAACAAAAAACATATCCTTGGGTGAGGATTAAAAAAACCAAAAAGCCACTCGACCTCAAGGAACACAGTTTGCCAAGCAGGTCGTGTAGGGCTAATAGACATGAAGATCCCATGTTAGCAGCTATGAGACATTTGAGTTGTTTGCTCCTGTCTTCCTGATGCCAACTGGAACTAACTAACAGCTTGAGAGGAAAAACACACAACCCAAATCACAGAATAGGTGAAAAGTTTTAAAAAGAATTGTGGTGAGGACCAAGCCCTGAATCTGGCAATGCAGTCAGAAACCACCACTTTAAGCCGTAGGGCAAGGAGGACAGTGTGTAGAGAAAGGCTAGCAAAATCTAGCACTGGTTCTTCCTTATGAGGGCTCAAGAAGCGCGCCTCTAAAATAACTCAGGTATGCACTGACAAAACCACCAGAAAGCTGCCCTGCGCCTGCTTCCCCACGGCTCTCCTGGCAAACTTACAAGCACGTTTGCTCAGTTGTGAGCCTCACCCACAGGCATCTCCCACCTCCGAGGCAGGGGTGAGAAATCTGGACCGTGTGTTCCCAAATAAGGGAAATCAAATCACCTATAGGCAATACCTTCTATTTCCCTTGCTCCTTAATGATAGCATCCTTAATTAAGCCAACTTCAAAGGACACTAATTAGTGTCTGGAGGTCAACGGTCAAACCCATGGTTTACAAATCTTAACAGAAATCACATAACCTACTTACCTGAATAAAACCCCAAATCATCAATCCCTGCCCTCCCTTCCCAGGGGAATAGATTTAAGTCCATTTCTCCTTTTTTCACCACAGGATGTGGAAGACAGTCAAAGAAGGTAGTGTGAGAGGGAGGGGCATCCTAGTTCATCATTAAAAAATAAAGTTCTCTTTAAGTGTCATATTCATCTGAGGTTGTATAAAAATTTTGTTTCAATTCTCCTCGGTGTCTGCCTCTAAGAGTTCATCTTCTAAGCCAAAATTCAGCTTGTCAGCTAGCCCCTCAAACTGCTTGCCCAGACTGCCTGCAGAGTCCACGAACATGTTAGGGATGTCTTTGCCAAAGTAAATCTTGCTGTTGGAAGCAATGGCCTTGTACTTCATCAGCTGCAGATATTCAGGGGTTAGCTTCAGCTGCAAAAAAGTAAAAAGCAAAGACGACTTAGGTGGAGCCAGATTAGAGAAACCATGGGTGGACCCCTTCACTTGTCATAAGGAGAGGGTCTTTGTCAAAGACATATGCCCACTCTCCTTTTCCTGGTCTCACTGCTACATTCGTAAAAGGGGTAACCACTTCTCTAGGAGAAAGTCATCTCATATCTTCAGGGTCAGAGCTGCAAGAGTTTTAGGGGTTTCCATGTTTAACACAAAAATTACACTTCCATCAAGACACTGCTAAGGAAAAGGGAAGTACCTCTCCCACACAGTATAGCAATCACTAGAAGGGGCTTTGGGTGGTGACCTTCCAACACCGGGAACTCTCAAACAGTATCAGCATAAACTCAAGCACACATTCTCTTTGCCAGGAGGGCCTGGGCATTTGTTTACCTTATTAGCTTCGGCCATCTTCATAGCTGTATAGCACTCAGCATCAGCCTTCGCCTTCTCCCGGGCCAGAAACGCAGCATCTGAGGGGAGAATGCAGTGAACTGAAGTGCAGAGGCTACCAGAAGACGGGGTCTGGTCCCTGTAACTTTCCCTGGTTGCCTCTGTGACCTTGGGGAGATTGCCTCCCCCCCTCCCCTCCATGCTTTGGTTTCCTCATCTGTGAAATAGGGGAAAAGTGCTGTGACAGCATCTCCCTGTGGTGAGGACTAGTCATGAGGAAGTCTGTTGCTCTGCCCAACATTTTATTTGACAGCATTATCTAGAAATGTACTGCCACCCAGAGACACTTCCTGTTTCTGCACTTACTACTTTTGTAGCTCCATGTCTGGGGAGGGACCCTGCCTCAACCTCCAGTTTCACAGCTTGCACCATCCCTCTTGTGCTACACAGCAAAAGCAAGAGATGCCCAAAGGAGGCTCTGAATACAGCCAGAGGCAGATCCACCCTAACACCGAATCCCATAAGCATAAAATAGTTTGGTCCCTCTCCAACTTAATTTCCCTTTTCTTTCCATCAATCATTTCAAAAAAGTTCTAATTAACAGTGGTTAAGCTGGCACAACTCTAAGAGACAAGCCATGGTTCAAACTTACACCTATTTGGATTAAGACCTGTTTAAAATTCCACTATGGAAGCAATATACTTTCTCAATCTGCCAAGATTAGCTTTCTGTCAAGTTGATGCAAAATTTTTGATATTTACTTCCTTGCCTTGGGAATGAGGCCAGTCTCATCTGAGTAGTATCTGTAGCAAAAAGCCTGGGAGGAAAGGTCAGTCTGTGGGTGGGTTCTCACTACACACCCTCAGCGGGATCCTGGGTGAAAGGAGCCTGAAGTCTGGCTGCGTGTGACTGACTTAATGGTCCTTAGCACCTGATGCATGTACTTATAAGAAACAAAAATGTGTTGTTTTGCTAAGAGCTCCCTAATGAGGAGCTGCTGATCTGTAAAATCCTAACTGGTTCCCCAATAGGGCCCTGCAAAGCTCAGCAGGCTCTGTAAGGGTATAACTGGACACAGCACTTTGTAGCCTGAAGTTGGGCCTTCAGGTCCCCTTTCTGTCCTAGAATTTGTTTAATACTTATATACCACATGAAGGAAAAAGGTGGCTGATGGGAAGGAAGTGAGGGCTGAGGGGCAGGGAACTAAAGGTGAGTGATATTCAGAGAAGTTAGCCAAGGCATACTTCTGTCCATACTTCTGTTGCTGGTGCTGAAAAGGTGTCTTCTTACACCCAGCTTAACATCTACAGGGATCCTGAGAGTGGACTCAGAGGCCAGAGCTATGGTGCTTGCCACCTCCTGAAGAGGGGTAGGTAAGGCACGAGGGAGAGAGCTGCTTTTGGGCCCAGCTTCTTAGTTTACTTCTACTGCCAGACTGTGAGCTCCACGACAGCAGGGACGGTGCAACTTCCCTTTTCCTTATGCCTAACATGAGAGTGCCTAATGGCACGCAACTAGCATTTGCTGAATGAACAAATGCTCTCTGAAGTGGGAAATTAATGACAAATCTCCCCCAGAGTGAAAGCACAGAGAAAAAGTGATGTTCCAAAGAAATCAAGAGATCTTAGAACGGATGTTAAAAGAGCAAAGGAAATGATTCCCCCTCCCCCTTGCCACAGAGTGGGGTCTGAGGAAAATTCAGCTGTTAATTTCACTTCTGCTTACCTTCAATTTCTGAAATCTTCTTCTCAGTCTCCTTCTCCATCACCTTCTGTCCATAGGTGATTTCTGCAACCTGAGCCACTTTTTCTGCCTCTGTGTTAATGAAGTTGAGAAAAAGCTTAGAGCTCTGATATTTTCAAGAGTTTGACTCAATTCCATCTTTCACCTGATCAGAGGCCCTGAGGCAGGAGTGAGGGTAAGCTCAGATGAGAGTCCCTGGGCCCAGAGGATGGCTGTGACAGGGATACAAGGGTAGAAATGGAGTATACCAGTGCGTGCAGACCATGACATCAGTGCAAGACAGGAACTGGGGAGACGTGGGCCCCAGGGAGGAGAGTCATTACTCTAATGAAACAAGGAATAAGCCCTAACTAACCTCTCTTTTAAGTCACAAGGGTATTTCTCCCAAAGGAGTACTTTTAGGAATAAGGCACTCTCTGAAAAGCTTCTTCCTGCTACTTCCCTTTAGGAGGTAGTCGCTGTTGATAGTCCAATGTAGTAGTAAAGAACCCAGGTTCTGGAGCAGAGTCCTAGGATCTGAACCCCAGTTCCACCACTTAACTTGCCATATGACCTTGGACACATTATTTAACCTCTCTGTATTTCAGCTCTGTAAATAAGGTTAATGATACTGCCTCTCTCACCTGCTGGTTGTGAGGAGTGAGAGAATTTACATGTAAGTGCTTAGAAAAGTACATGGCTCATAGTAAATGCTCAATAAGTTAGCCATGATCATTATGAATTAAGAATTAACAGTAACAGCTCCTTTTAAGAGATACGTGGCCCCTGATCGGTGTGGCTCAGTTGGTTGGAGCATCATCCCCTACACTGAAAGGTTGTGGGGTCAATTCCCATTCAGGGCACATACCTGGGTTGTGGGTTCTATCCCAGGTCAGGGTGCCTATCGGAAGCAACCGATTAAAGTTTCTCTCTCACATCAACATCTCCCTCTCTCTGCCTTCCTCTCTAAAATCAATAAAAAGCATATCCTTGGGTGAGGGGGAAAAAAAGATATATGGAAACTCAAAACTGATAACCCCTGGCCACCATCTGACAATTACAGCTTTGCTCTTAGGAGTATGAAAGCCACTCCTACGCATGGCAAGGGTTTGGAGAACCATGTGGTCTAACCGTGCCTAAGGCTTCCTCGACTCTCCCCACCATCCCCAGTCTTTCTGCCCTTAAAGGGGGGGTGTCACAGAACCACATCCAGACCAATGAGAGCCTTCTTCCGTTCTGTCTCAGCTTCTTTTTCCACCACCTTCTGTTTCTGGGCAGCAATGAGAAGCTTTGTCTTTTCGCTTTCCCTGGAGGAGAAAAAAGTATGCTGTTTCACAACTATGGAAAAGCATCTGAGGAACTTCACTGTCCCCTGGAGAAGCCAAACTCTTCTAAGGAGAGGCAAACTCTGATTTCTTATTCTCTCCTGGTAGGTTGTCCAATGTCCCAGGTAAAAGCAGATCTGTTGCAGACAGTAACATGGCTCTGCTCCTTCTCCAAAATAACTCATTTGTGGGAAATAGAGCATAATTTACTTTAGTGAAATGCACCTGTCTGCCCACTTAATTGTCTTTCTCTCCTATCTTCTTTGGCATGAGCCATGAAGCGCAAACAAGGCCCCCTGGCCCCTTTAAAAGCATCACTGCTCAAAAGGGCTTCTCCGTGGCTCTTAATCACAGTTACAGAACCCAGGTGACTGTCCTCACACGCCTGCTCCATCCTATAGTGCAATGGGCTGTGACAAATACTCAAGGAGGGGAATAAAAGCCTGACACAGCCTCCGTTAACTGAGATGGGAAGAGGTGGGAGAGAGTGGTAGTTACAGCTTAGGCTGAGGATACTCACATCAACTCGTAGTTTCTGCGGATCGCCTCAGGTATATTGGGCTTTGTCACCCGCACAGCCTGGAGAAGGAGAAAAAGAGCACCTGATGGGAAGGTGAGGGTGGTGAGGGACCCAAGCAGCTCCCCCTTGGTCCTTGATCTTCCTACATGGAAAGGACATCCCTTGAAAGAGGGGATGCACCTTCATCAGGGAACACTCCCACAGCGGCAATGCTTACTTGTATGACAAGCCCAGGGGCCATGGAAGTTAGGTCCTGCTGCAAAGCCAGTTTGAGATTTTCATCAATCTGATCTGGAATCAAGAAAGACAGGAAAAGGAGCTGTCACACTATCTAGGCAGGGTGGAGGGAAGTATGGAGATAGAGGTAAAGCTAAAACACCAGCTCGAGAATGCACCTCACAGGCAAAAGGTCCTCCCAAGGTAAAGTGCTTATCATAGCCCAGCAACCTAAAGTTCTCCTGCAAGACTTTCAGAGCAGCGTGCCTCTGCAGTCCCTCTACGCAGGCTAGGTGTGAGAGTATCCTTTTCCTGTGGCCTCGACAGAGAATCCCTAGGTTGTTGAAAATATCAGCCTTGCCCAAAAGGGAACTGAGCTTTAAAAAGAAAAAGAACAAACAATTCTAGCACATTTCTTGAATTAGGCAGCAGCCTGTTCCCAGACAACAGGAGCAAAACAGAAGGCAGGCACCCAGTTTTCATGAAGGAGGAAGATGGAATGGCTATGTTAGGTATTTTGAAAAGAGCCGAGCATATTAAATCGAGTAATTTTAGATGTTCCTAAAAGAAAAACAGATTCTGATGTCAAGGAAGCCCCAAGGAAGGCCATTTCCATTAGGAACTCCATCAAATGACACAAGGGGAAAATAAAATGTACAGTTCTGGAAGCGAGCCCAAGGCTTTTGATGTGTTGTTTGCTTTGGTCCTGATTCCTCTGCCTGGAATTCACATGTGGGTCATTTCACAGACAAGGGGAGGAAGAGCTAGGACTGATCCTCCTTCCAGCTGTGATCCCAGGAAAGCAGCACTAGGCCGCCTTCTCTGGCTGAGATCCTCAATAAGATCCCAAAGAGCACCAAGAAAAAGACTCCACGAAATCAGGCTCGGACATCTAAACTCAATCACCTCCCTCACTGTCAGCTGCCATCTGCCTTAAGTGGCCATTCTTAGTCACTTGTGCCCAAACAGGAGTCTGTGAGAAATAGCAAATCTAACTCCTGCCTTTTACAGATGCCCAAACTGAGGTCCATGGAAGTTGGGATGTGCTCAAGACAGTAGCAAAAATAATGAACTTTCTTAATTACTATGTTTTGATTACTAAGGTTTAAAACCGTATTCTTTCAACTGTCATATCAGTGAGCAGGGGATTTTAATGCTTCCATGTATTGGATATGCTCTCACAAGCCTCTTAGCACTGAGGAAGAAATGCCCATAAAGGCAGTACCTTGCCTCTGACACTGGCCTAACAATTTCACAGCTAGAGATAAATATTACATTTCATATTTTCTATTTTAAATAGGATACCCACCAAACTTTAAGTGAGATGGCCTGTACTGTCTGTAAATTAATAACAACATATTCATTTATCAGACCAAATTATACTGAGTCAAGGCAGAAACCTGTGGCCCTGGGCTGGTAACTTTAGGAAAATCTAGAAGGAATATTTGAAAGGTGGTTTATTACCATAGTAATACTGGTAACAAGTTGTTTATGTTACAGTTATGCTGATAAACTGCTGGCTAAGTTATACTATTAAGTATATACAAAGAGGTTCTTCAGGTAACCTTCTGAACAAGAACTAGATATTTTTATAAAATGGGCAAAGAGGCTGCATCAGAGTAAGCAGTGATGAGAATTACGCAGGCATGTTGAAAGTCAGGGCTAGGAGTCCTGAGAGGCAGGAACTAGAAAAAAACCTTTGATGATTAAGGAATAGGATTGGAGACTCCAGTTTCTCCTTTACAGATGCAAATATAGTCTTAGCCAAAACAGTGCTTGCAGGCAAGCATGAACTTTAAAAGGAAAAAAAAAAATCTCAAAGCAAATACATTTTCTCAGCTCCTTTGTACAAGAAGCTATACTTTGCTAAACTATCAAGTTGATCTCTAAGACAATAAGAAGTTTTTAATGCAAAACAATTTTATATTTTAATTTTCTTTTCATGGAAATTAGAGATCCTTTGTCTTTTGTTGTTTCAGTGCTTTGAAATGTTCATTTAATGGCACAGGTTTGTAAACAACGGCTAGAGAGAAAACTAATGATATTTTATAAAATAGTATCAGTTTGAGGTTAAAAAATAGCAAATTTACCAAATTTTTCCTAAAAGTACACTGAATCTAAACCCAATAAAAGACTCTAAACCCTACAGAGTGAATTTAGATTCATTTTTTACTGCAGAAAATTAAAAGTGATCCTGATGATTTCCCCAATCTGAAACACAGTGCAAAAGACTGCTTAATTAAAGTCATTGGCAATGTCAGTAATTCCTTCTTCTGTGTACTCTAAAAATGTTCTCACTTGGTCCTTTTTATGAAGATTCCTGGGAAAAACCACTGTTCAGTCCTAGTGTCAAGAATAGTTGTACTATGGGTTGAAAAATCCATTTAATTTTAGCACTGGCTACCAGAAAACTTCTAGCAGCAAGTTTATAAATAGAGCATTTTACCACCAAAGAGCTATAACAATTACTGAAATGTTTCCTTCCTTTGTTGAAGTCAGGCTGTGTTTACTTTGATCAGGTAGGAAGGACAAGAAATGTCTACTTAAGCATGTGGATCCTTTTTGTTTTAAGCTTTTTCCTATTCATCTCTGTAGGCACAGGGTAAACAAACAAATAAACAAATAACCCCCCCCCCCC